ACTTGCAAAGCGAGTAGCTAGTTCAAAAATATTGCGAGATACAATATTTATTGTAATTTGTAGCCGTTACGGCGTAAAATTATTCATAATTAGCCGGAGAATCAATGACATAATAATTCAGTATAACGAAGAAAAAGTGTATTTATATTTTGGATTTTGAGCTATGATTTAAAGTTACGAGAGTACCGAAAGAAAGGAGATATTATTGCATGATCTTTCATATTACCATTCGCCTTAATAATACATATGAAGTTATCTTAATTTTTTTACGAACTTAAAAATTTTATCATAATCAACATAACATACACGTGTGAAGTCTTAGAAGGGTTAATCGAAGATCCAACCGGTAACGAGTTTGTCGTTAACGCCTTTTCCAATTACGAAAATGTTAGTACGATCACCTCTAGGATCCACCTTTATCGCCATGCATTCTAGACGTGGCATTCCTTGAACTTTGGCGCGTACCCACATCTTTCTCGCTGGGTACAATATCATCATTTGTTCTAGGGGGTCTTCGGTAGTCGTCATGTTCTTCGTGAATCCGCCCAATATAACGATTCTGCGGCGAAGAGGAAAGATGGCACAACCACACCGTTTTCCCGGGCCAGCCCCCACGGTCGATATCCATTCTTCCGGAAGGAAAAAGGGTGGTGACATTGGAGTAAGATACCTGCGCCATCCACATTTCAAGAAGTCGTATTCCCAAACATCTTCATCGTCATGAATTGAAGAACTTGGCGAGTGACTGGAAATCTGTTGACCACCATAGATAAACAATTTCCCGCAAAGTGTAGTCGATGCGTGAGATGAGCGAGGGTAGGGAAGATTTGGTGTTGATGCATGCGAGGTCCAAGCATTTTTATATACATCGTAAATATAAAAATCTTTGGTGTCATAAGAATCACCTTCATTTGGAAAAAAGAACAAATATGCGAATACACTCGGTGATAATGTGTGAACGGAATTTAATGTGATGTAAAGATTTTGGAAACTTAAAGAACCCATTCGCTTACCACTTTCTGTCACGCACCTTCCTCCAAAGAGAATCAAATGATGAAGACCGAGAGGGTTAAGAGAATGCATGGACCTTGGGGTAGGGAATGTTTCGTTTTCGGGTATCTTGGACAACTTCATATTGCATATATTTAACCTGTACATACTGTTTGTCGGGAGATCAGTGAGACGATTCTCCCCGCCAAAAAGATAAATTTCGCGTTTTATGGCAGCCCCGAACGTCGATTTTACCGGGTGAAATTGATTTGGGTCCATGTCGATTAACACTGGTACTTTCTGCCATCTTAGTTTTTGAGTGAAATCGAGGATCCAACATACAGGTGCATCTTCGAGGATGGTAATGTAGAATTTGTTTTCGACGAAGACCCCATCTCGATAATTTGAAATTGGTGGCTCACCATCAGCACCTTTTAATTCAACGGTCGTATCCTTCCATAGGGGATGAACTACACCAAAATAGTAGAGCCTGGCTACTCGATGGAGAGTTCGGCACACACGAGAAATATTTTTTATATCCTCGACGCTCAAGTTATCTAAAATTATTTCGACCGTCTCGTTTGGTAAAGTCAAAAGACTTTCCCTACGCGAAGGTAACAAAATATCCATCGATATTCTCATGAAGAATTTGGGACAAATTGAGAGACTAGTTAATGGGACTTTTTTGGTAATGATGAATTCAGATCCACACTTGTTTTCCTTCCTTCCTTTTTTTTTTTTTTGAGGCGGTTAACTGTCTATGGATCGGATTCCTTACAGGAGGAAATAAGTCCAAAGCCCAAAGGGGAGTGAGCCCGAGATTATAAATACATCATGTTATAATATAGCTTCGCTAGGGCAATGACATTCAGATATCTCATATCGCCATTTTTTAACTTCGACAAATATTTGCAAAACAAAATGACAACAGATCGCAAATCAACATGGTAGCGAAACTCCTTTTCGTCTTGTCGCACAGATTCAATGGTTTGTTTGTTGACAAGTCTTTGCGAGATCGCGTCAAGTGATGATATCATATGCAACGTAAATCTCTACTTTTTTTAGTAACAAATTAATGTCATCTAAAAATAACCACGTCTCTTTACAACGTTCCAAGATTAGAACAGTTTATGTGCTCCCAAACAAAATTAAAAACTGACTTGCAACACAATCATGTTCATATTCATCTTCATCGAGCAAAAAAAAATTTTTTTTCTGAAACAACAAAACAAACAAATGCTACTTTCTCACAGATCCTTGATGTTCGCTGAGTATGGTAATGTCATAGTTCGAAAGACTTGGCTTTTTATGTTACTGGTTTTGGACATTGTGATGCCCCAAAAAAAAATGTTTTTTTTTTTTATATTAATTATCTAATTATTATGACTTCACCTCCGTGCCATTTTTTAAAAGAAATGGAAAAAACCGTATTTGATCGTTAGTTAATGACTTCTTGGAATTTTACAGAATTGTTCCGTTCTCATTCTGTGACCTTCTTGCCATTACAGAATTAATATTCAGGTAAAGAAGAAAAAATTCATATTTATTGAAATTACGAGATAAGTGGACCTCCATTCGAATGCGCAGCAAGGAACATACAATTTAAAGGGATAATTTTCCTAACGAAGCCACAGGTTTGTCACACGTTTCTATTTTTAAATAAACAAATTTCATTGGTCGATATGTGTAAGCAATTTTTTTTATTTCATCTGTACAACTTTTCAACCTGATGAAACTAGTTTTGTAGATGTCAATGGCGCAGTGTAGCGATTTCTTAAAAAACAGTTAAACATTACCTTAATTTGTAATCGTTAAAGTTTTTAAAAGAAAATAATGGGTAACTA